GGTTTGAGGTATGTGTGATGCAAAACTGGTTCTTAAATTAAGTGTGCTACGGATTTTTTTGGTTCTGCCTGGAATCAAGTTTGAAAGCGTGCAGCTCCTTTGGCTGCAGCCCGCCTGGCTCTTGCTTGTACAAGACCAGCTCTCTACTCTGTGAACAGGCAGTGCGTAGGTAAAATGGGTAGGGAACAGTTTTTCAGTGGGTGACACACTACTGGCTAGCTACACTTACATGTTGGGAAAAAGAGGAGAAAAGAATCATTTGAACTCTGCCGTCACTGGGGGAGCTGACAGCACAGGGCAACGTGAAGGTCAGTGCAGGTGCAGAGGAGAGATGAAGCTGCTTTCTGCTGTAGTACAGTTACTTTCAAGAGATAAATGGGAATGCTTAGGACTGTCAGTCCATACACAAATAAGATCAACTGTATTGGCAAGACGAAGATCAGAAGTAGGACAGCTGCTGGAAAATAAAATAATTTTGCGAGGGAGGAGAATGAGATGTGTCAAAGCTCCCCAGCAGTTGTGGACAAAACTTGTTAATTTTCTGTATTGAAGTGTATAGTCTTCACAATGTTGCATGTTGTAATCAAGAGAGTTTCATTTTTAAGTAAGCTCGCAACTAGGGCTCGCCTGTTTTTAAAAGAAAAAATCATTTCACCACCATCTCTGGTACCATGCAAAGCTTTCTGAGCGAGCGGCTGCTTTGCGTGTACAGAAATAATGCATGTGTTGTATTCCGTGTGCCTTGTCACACAATTTCGCAATCCAATTTCTGGCTTGGTGTTGTAGCTTGGTGCTTTTGGTTTCGGGTGGCCCTGCACATGTGACATACCTGTTTCAGTCCTGTGTCACCCATGGGTGGTGTGAGAATGGCAGTCTGACTGTGAGCTGCCTGCTGCCCTATACGCTGCTCAAACCTCCTTACACCCAGTAGCAAATCTTGCGGTGTTACACAGGTGTTAAGTTGGAACCACAGAAAAGGAGGGAGTATCTTGTGCATATTCTGTACTTCATCCCTGCCCTGTCAAATTGTTGGGATAAGTCAGAGGTTTTTCCTCTCTATGCAATATGAGGCATGTCACAATAAAGAGAGCCCAGCCTGGTGCCTTCCCAAAGCTGTCGCCGTCTCCAGCACCCTGTTATAGCTGTGTACAACAGAAGCAGAACAGATTGTGGTATATGAAGAACTGGGGGTGTGGGAAGAAGGCAAAATTAGTTTAATAGTGTGTATCAAAGTAAGCTATTTAAAAAAAAAAAAGTCTCATTTAATTTTGTTTTAGACCACTAAAAATCTCTGAAATTTTCACATGCGACAAAGAATACAGGACCCTGCTCTTGTCAAAGTAAACTATTTAAAAAAAAAAAGTCTCATTTAACTTTGTTTTAGACCACTAAAAATCTCTGAAATTTTCACATGCGACAAAGAATACAGGACCCTGCTCTTGAGCTGTTCTTCAGCAAACTGGTATGAGATCTAAAAAACCCAACAACCAACCAATGGGGTCCATCTGTTTTGAAAAATATACTGTTGCAAGCATAAAACAACTAAATGGTCACTTAGTATCAACAGGGCAGTTGAACAGATTGTGAAAATCCTTTTCACATCTTGTTTCGTGCAAGGAGCTAACTTAAACTGGGCTGTGAAGACACTACACAGCAAGAAGAGTGGGCTGTGATTTACGTTGTAAAGCGTTTGATGTCTCTGTCTTGCTGTACCCACTGCTTTAGAATTAGTGCTAAAAGAATTATTTAAGAAAATAGAGTACAAAAGGAGTGCGTCTTTCAATGCTCTGTTTTCTTGAAGGGTGTTGCAGTGTTTTTCAAAATGAAAAAATTGAAATTTCAGTTGCTAAGGAGCTCAGTGCCTCTCAGGGTTTGGGGGTTTTTGATTGCTTCCAATATTGCACTACATAAAACATGCTCATGTTGCATGATTTTTAAAAATTACATTTTGGAGTGAAGACCATCAGGTTTTAAAAATAATTTTATGTGTATGTGTGTTACAGATACAAGTTGGCGATCAGAAGCAACATTTCAGTTTACAGTTGAACGCTTCAACAGATTGAGTGAGTCAGTTCTCAGTCCTCCCTGCTTTGTACGGAATTTACCATGGAAGATCATGGTTATGCCACGACTCTACCCGGACAGACCGCACCAAAAAAGTGTAGGATTCTTCCTTCAATGCAATGCTGAATCTGATTCCACGTAAGACCCCTTTAATTATTGTACAAGTCCTCATTTGATACTAGTCAATCCGTGTTGCAAGAAATACAAACATCTAAAAAAATTATTTTACCTAGCTTTCTGCAAGAGAAAGGAATTCTTGCAAGGGTTTGAGTCCACTTTTCCCCTACCTTTCTAAATCCCAAAGCATAAGAGTAATCCTCTCTTTAGGAGAAGCTGAGAGTAGCTTGTGTAGCTGCAAGTTTGTGGTAAAATTAAGATATATTTCTGTTTGATTGCTGGGGGGGGGAGGTCTTTTACAGTTTTCTTGGCATGGGAAAAATTCTGGGTTTATTTCAAATGAGCAGGTAACTGCTAACAACTGAGGCAGAGCGGTGTATGAGGTGGTCGTCTCCTTACTTGGAGTTCGTCACTCTTCAAGTGAGATGCAAACATGTACATGTTCCTGGAGTCCTGCATGCAAATGAAAATTGGCTATCTTTGCTTCTGTAAATAATATGGAAATTTCAAAAGATAAACACAAGTTTCTGGGGCATTACTGCAGCTCATCCAGCTAGAGTGCAGACCCCACGTAGGTATTCTTTCTGTTCTTGCACCAAATCTCACACGTGGTGTTGTGTTCAGTATTATTCACTCTGAATAATAAGTTGCTCTTTTCCGTTGTTTTTGTAATCTAAAAGATGAGTGCTCAGTGCAGAAGGTAAAGAAGAAAGTTGTGTCTTAAGTAGTCACAAGGGAAGTGGTTCACGTGCAAGTAATCCCAGGAAAAGGACAGTGTAATCTTCAAAAGCACCAACCAAGGGGCAGCTGGTGGAGTTTAGCAAGCAGCAGTGCCACTGCATGAGGCAGTGACGAGACCTTGTCTGGAATGATACTTGGTCTGATCGTCTTGCACAAGTGGAATGAATTTGAACAGGAATGGTCATAAAGAAGCGCTGCTGAGAAAATTAGAGTATTGGGGAGTTTATCTTGTGGGAGGGAGGGTAGAACCACCTCCTCCTTTCCTTAGCCAAAGGCTGAGTTACCCACTCTGTAGACACCAAAACTACTTTGAGTTGGCCTGTCCATCTGCACTGAAGTAGATTGGGAATAGCTCACCTCAGAGAGCAGTTAGCTTCTTAAACCACCGTTAGCTGCAATTTTCGGACACTGTCTTAACAACACTGTTGCCCTAACAAAATCTCCATTCCAGCATCACATTTATAATGTGGCTTCAGAAAACCTCAGGGATTCATGCCCTCAATAACAATTAAGCAATTCCTAACATCTAATAAGGAAAAAAAATTCCTGTATGTGAAAGTAATTTACCAAAAATTCCTAATAAAAAAAATTATTTTAATGACTAGAAAAAGCTTGGGTTTGAATGAGCTTTGAATATTTCTTCTGTTATTTATAGGTCATGGTCTTGTCATGCACAAGCAGTTCTCAAGATAATAAACTACAAGGATGATGAAAAATCATTCAGTCGTCGTATTAGTCACTTGTTCTTTCATAAGGAAAATGACTGGGGCTTTTCCAACTTCATGGCCTGGAGTGTAAGTAATTGGACACGTATTAATCTGTTACTACATAGGAGCAGTTTGCACTTGCTCTCCTGAATACTGAGACACCTGTAGAAAAGGGTTTTTTTTCCTAAGCTGTTACTTTTCTATTATTGCTATAGATTCTTTTTAATTTCTTATAAATTTCTCTACTTAATCATTGTAGATTGCTTTTACTTACATTGTGGTTTAAATATTCCCTCATTATTATTTTCTGCTTATCTGAATGCTTGTTTTTTGTTTTCACTGTGTGATAGTCGATGTCATTCTAAAGCAGCTTAGATTTTCTTGCATTTCCATGTGTTCTTTGTATATGTGTACAGATATTTAATGCCCTAATAATACTATTAAGGCTTATTTTGAACTGAGACAGCTTTTTAAGCATTCTCAAAGATTGGACCCTTAGTTTTCAATCTGTCTGGAATATTGTCCAGAAGAACCAGAGCCTTTGATTACCAACACTTATTATCCACAGACATTTGAAATAGTACTGCAAAATGTTTCCTGTATTGAGACATTAAAAAAGAATTAAAATATATTAAGCTGAAAAACAACTTTGCTGGTGTCCTTCAGTTTTTCTTCATCAGTTTATAGTTACTGATAGCTCAGGCTTGGAAATTTATGTGGTATCTAACTGGATGCTTCACTACGGTCATGTTGCAAGCTCCAGTTTTCATGTTTGTGTGTCATTCCTGTTTTACAGGAAGTTACTGATCCTGAAAAAGGCTTTATAGAAGAGGACAAAGTTACTTTTGAAGTCTATGTTCAAGCAGATGCTCCACATGGAGTAGCGTAAGTATCTCTGTTTAAAAATAAAATTATTAATTCTAATATTTTTATGTTGCTTGGGATTCTTCACCCGTTTTGTGTTATTAACATTTGTGGCTCTCATGAGACATTCTCACTTTGTCACCTTTGATTGATGAATTCTCACATGGCAATATTTTTCATTAGTCATGTAGACATTTTTGCACAGGTTAAACTTCCGTTTCCATTAGTCAGCATAATGTTGTGGAACTTTAACTTCTGCCTGAATTGAATTGTGATTTAACACCTCTGCCAATCTAGCCTCAACGTTTCTGATCTTGCAGCTGATAAGGGTTTTGGACACAGGGGGCTCTGCTATCTAGCTTGCCTTGGTTTACAATTGTTTAAAACTGCCTTATTTGAGTCATGCTGCTTCCTGTCACTTGTAAACAAAGCGCTTGTACTGAAGTGCAGACTTGCCTTTAAAAGCGCGGCTCTGGGTTCCAGTACGCTTTCATAATACATAGTTTTTCTGCCATATAGAACATCTTTAAAAAGAAAACCTTACAAACTCCCAAAGCATTTACTTGCAAAGACTGGCAGGCAGTAGTGAAGTGGAGTTTATTTGAACCTTAAGTAACAATGAAGAGTAGCTGATATCCACCAGCAGCGTTACCTTAGAATAAATGCTCTTTGTTATAGTTAATGCAAAACTGTCTTGTTTTGAACCACTTAATTATTTTCTAGGTGGGATTCAAAGAAGCACACAGGATATGTTGGCTTAAAGAACCAGGGAGCAACTTGTTACATGAACAGCTTGTTACAGACGTTATTTTTCACAAATCAGCTACGAAAGGTAATTAATATGTGAAAGAAAATGAGATTGCTAGTTGAAATACCCAATATTTTATATTTACAAATCCTTCAAAACAGGTCCGTGTGTTCCTTTTGCCACTTTCATCCTCTTAAGAGAAGTCGTGACTTAGATGGTGATTCACATCTTACCTGAGGCTGAATGCAGGAAGCTTCCTTTTATAGTTGGTTGAATATAAGCTTTTGGGTTTCTTTCTGAAAGCAGCCAGACAGAGTACCTGGTGAAGACCTGAGCTTAAGGGGTGGTTTTTAGCCTGCATGATGTGTTAATGTTGCTATGAATTGTTGCAGGGGTGGGGGGACGGGACAGGAGGACTCTACATCTTGCAGATGAGAGATGGAAGTAATTTCCTTTTCTTGAAATAGCTAAAATAGAGAAATCAGTTATGAGTTCTCAGCCCATAAACAATGTAAAAAGGTAAACGTGTGACCTTTGTAGTTCATTTGTTCTGTCTTTTATATTATGCAGTTGAATTTTCTGTTACCATGGTTAGCATCTTTGTAATGATGGAAAGTGTTATAATTTCAGTAGTTTAAACGATTTTATATTTGCTTCATTCATGAGTTTTTTGTTTACTGTAGATGTTATTTCTTTGCTGGAAGGAAGAACTGCTTTAAATATCAGCTTAATAAGTATCTCATACAAACCCAGGATGAAATACACTAGATAATGTATCATTTTAAAATAGTGCAGGAGCCTGAATGGGATAAAAATATTAATGATGACTTGGTATTGGAGGTGGCTATCTGGAAGAGGGGACGTACTTGGTAAAAAATGTTACTTGGCACCATTTAGTTTATTGGAGTGTCCTATTGATCCTAATTCATCCTTTTGCACATTCCTGCACTTGCTGTATCTCTCTTGGTGAAAATGAACTGTTCTGACTTAATGCTTTCTCTGGTGTATACTAGTTGTTACATTCCCATTAAGCTTTATTTTCTCCAAAACTTCCCTTTTTAGTGTACCTACTTTCCACTGTCTTAGATTTTCTGTCATCTGATTATTTATATCACTGTGGCCTGTAAGTGTCCCACTTGGGAGTTCTTTTTTCTCTTTTGCCATGTGCTGCTTACTCTGAAGCATTGCAAAAAATAGCATGTGAAACTGCAGTAGACTGTAACTGAGATCTTACCAGTGCCGTGTTACAAGAAATAAATACTTGACTTTTTTACGTGATACACCTGTTTCTTTTTTGCAAGAGGTATAATTTACTCATTCAGTTTATCATTCATTATAATGCCTCTTCTTTTCTCTCAGCACTCATACTGTTTGTGCATTTTATGGTTTTGGACAACTTCACTTTACTCCTTGAAAGAAATATATGTTTTTATAATAGCTACATCTAACCCAATTGAGTCGTTTCTTTCAAGACTGTCTTGTCAGTAAATCAATATGTACCATGAAGTAATCTTGTGCTGTGAAGAAGAAATTATTTTTGTGATACAGATGTGTTTCAACTGAACTAATCTTTTCAGGCATTCCACTGCACTTCTACTCCAGCCCCCAAATAAATACCAGCTTTTAGGGAGTGCTGATGTCTGGATAGTGACCGTATCAGAAAGCTTGATTTACTAGCTGGTAGCTGCATCCTCCTCTATGGAAATGTTACTGACCATCAGCTGAAATGCCCAACTCTTTGCTCATTCTTGACCCCCTACAAACAGAATAGACTACAGTGGTAGTTTTAGACAATTTTAATAGTTATTTGCTATTATTGCAGATAAAGAAGGATCAGTAGTTGTCTTGTCTGAAAAAAATGAATTTCAGCAATGTTTTTAATTTCACTTTGAGCAAACTTGTTCTTCTTAAAACTGAGTAAAATAAAATGTGTAGTATCCTTAGTTTGCTTATCACCAATTCCATTATTTCTGTTAATCCTCCTTAGAAGAAATAATGATTTCTATTGCAGTTATTTAGAGCTTTGTTAACAGAGAAGTTGCAGGCAGGAGTAGAGCTGGGCAGGCAATGAACAATAGCAAAGGCAAGCACGTACCTATGGCAGGGCGGGCTCTAGTGAAGCGTGGGTGAGGATTGATGGAGAGGTCTTTTCTTCTTTGCTCTGTTTCCAGACAACAGATGGGAGGTTCTTGAGTATTTGAAATGAGACCTCCCTTTATTAGCAATCAGGTGGCTTCAGTGGTAGCGAATAAAGCAAAGGAACTTTCTCTTCAGAACATCTTTGTCTGTTTATGACTGGTAAATGCATGCTTAAATATAGCCCACCTGTGCAAGGGACAGTGGTAACTGCCCAAATGGGTCCAGGTTTGATCTTGGACCGTGTTACATGCGTCTTCCCAGGTCTGTCATTAGTGCCTCCAGCCAGTCAGTGCTCATGGCTGCATCCAGTCCATTTAAAAACTCCACAGGTTCCCCTGAAAATCATGAGAACATTGCAGAATGTTTATTTAGTTATGCTAAAATTGTAAATACTGGTCCAGTACATTTCTCCCTGGTCTGGCTCTCCTCAATTTATACAATATTTTTTACCTTACCCTTGGAATTTCATACACAGTATTTTCTTCCCTTCTTCAAGTAAGTGTCTTGACTTTAAGCAGTGTGTTCAAGCTTATCTGTAGCATTCTTTTACCTTGTAAATATCTAAATTTTTTCTCTCATCTGTCTCTTGCTTATAGCCATTGCCTATACATGTCCCTGTCACTCTTTTCTGTTCATTTCCTGAGGGAACTTCTCAGGTGTTAAATTAGAGATTCTGCTTTTTTCAAATGGATCAAAATGCCTCACTCCTTGATCTTGAGGTCAAGCTTTCAGAGTTTGGGAGGATAAGGCATAAGAATAAAGGTTTGTAGGAGATTGTATGTGCTTCGGTACTACTTACATACACAGAGTGAAGAACCAGAGAAAAGCTATGTGTTAAATGCTTAGCTTGTAGTAACACTTTTAGAATTTCAGAAGAAATAGAAACGGTGTGTTTATTCAATGGCAGATGGAATGTAGTAATCATAAATTATTCTAAATTATTATTTTAATATTACTTGAGAGATATAGGAAATGAATTAATTGTGTAGATGGTGTATGAAGAAACAAAATGTCTTTTATTTCATCTTATTACTGTAGCTATTCTGCTGATATTTTCTTATTGTATTATTTTTCTAAGTGTTTTATGTTGCTGTACTTTTGAACAATGGATATTCAGAATTGGAATAGGAAACTGACCGTGCCAACTTCTTAACAACTTTTTTTTTGCCTTTTTTGTTTCTTACTTTCTTTTCTGTCATTCTCTCATGTTCTTTTTGTATCAGTTTTGTCTTTATCTAGTGTGTGTCTCATCTGGTTCCATCACCTTGGTACTGAGTTTTCATATAGCAATGAGTGTGTTTCCCCAACAATTCAGCTATGTACTGGAAGTACTGACCTTGCTCTGTATGTAGGGAGCTGAAGTACAGGATGAGTTAGAGGTGCTGGGCACCTCTGAGATCTTTGGGTGATGCAGAAACCGAGTGAGAACTACCGAGATGCAGCTTAGCGCTTCCCTCACAGAAATGTATCATTCCCTGTTGTTTCACTGGCAAAAATTCACGTGGCAATTTTTCTGCTTCCTACCAGGTTATTTTCTCATGTACTACTTGATATTTGGAGTCTTTATTTTTGCATGTGGTGTTACGTGATCTCCTTCCAGAGTTGACTGTTTTCTTTTTACATTCACACTTTCTAAATGAGCATCTCTCTGTAAATCCCTTTTCTTTGCCGTTATTTTTCCCTAGGTACATTGCTGTACATTTTTTAAAAAGTAAATCCCTTTTCAGTGTCTGTTGAACTCTCGTGGTCCCTGTTTGGTCTATTTGTAATTTCTTGTTCTCAGTCCTTCCCAAATCAGTCTAATCAGTGAATTGAATTGTTAAGCTGCTCATTTGCTGGACAGTGATGACGTTAAGTAGGAATGGAATGTATCGGAGAATCTCAAAGCTTCCACTGACATCCTTCTCCTCCACATGGACCGTTTCTGGTTTCGGTCACTTGTTGCCCTGTATGGTTTCATGGGTTTGGTTCTCTTGGTTTTTGTGTTGGGTTTTTTTTCCCCCACTGTAGATTACAATATTCACAGATAGCCAAGCTACAGCACGAAGCTGAAGTTACTTTCAAAAGCCTCTGGTATTGATCAGTATATCTGGTCCTGCTGTGATGATTGTGTAGACATACCAGGCATGATGAGTTGTTTGAAGGTGTTCAGTGCTTTAGTGCATTTACTTTTCTAGGGTGGAATAAGGGAACTATTTAGATAAAATAACCATGAATGGAATCCATTGCTCATGTCTTTCTAACCGCTGTGCTCTAGGAAGAGTCATTCCAGATAATGTTTTTATGCTACAGTATGAGATTTTTTTCAGAGTCTGTTGGAGTGATGATTAAATGGAGTTACATGAAGGAAGTCACTGAAGAGGAAAGAATGCCTTAAACAATATGAGCGATAATATTTTCCTTAGATACTAATTAAACTAAATGCTTTTTCAGGCTGTGTACATGATGCCCACAGAAGGAGATGATTCATCCAAAAGTGTTCCTTTAGCATTGCAAAGAGTGTTTTATGAGCTGCAACATAGTGACAAACCAGTTGGAACTAAAAAGTTAACAAAATCTTTTGGGTAAGTTTCAGAAACTTGGACTATTTATTGGGCTATTATAGGCTTCATAAAACTTTTCTTTAAAAAGGTTTTATTTAAATCAAGCTATTCTTAGAGAGGTGCAGAGATGTGTTAATATAGCATTATGTTAATTGCTAGCTTTTCTTAGTTTACTTGGACAGGTTTTTCTTTTTAGTCAGAACTAAAGACTGCTGATCCAAAAGTCAGGTTTTTGTGGGGAAGGGAGCAGTACAGAGTCAAACACAGCTGTTAGCAGCAGGGTTATAATTTACCTGTTACCTGAAAATGGGTGATGCATTTAACTTAAGTAAAATTTGGGACAATAAATGTTGTTGAAACATTGCACTTGATGCATTGTTGATGTCTTTTTAAAAAATACAAATCTGTTTTAAATTCAGAGAAGTAGCAGTAATTTGCATTCCCGTATTGTTAGCTCTGCATTTATGACTGTTGTAACATTTTCTTGTGACATATCAAAGATGCATGTATTTTTGCCTGTGCACGATTTAGAAGCGTTTAATGCTGTATTCGGTTTCGTGATTGAAAGCTTAAGAGGAGTATCTGCTGCATGAAGTAAAGGTGTCAGAGCGCACACACAAAACAAGTCTTTGCATTTTCCTCATTCTAGCCCCCTCTTTTCCTCCATAAAACATCCACAGGAAGGCTTGCTCTTTATTTTCATTTTTGCCCAGTATCCAGTTCACTGACTGATATTTTTTCCAGTCTGATGGTGCTGCTTGTGAGATGGTGTTACAGGGTGTAATTTTAGATCTTGGAGTATCTAGACGTAGAATTGTACGATATAGCTTCTTTTAGGGTGTTTGGTTTTGGGGTTTTTTTTTTTTTTTTTTTTAACTAGATGTATCAGTTGAGTACAAGTTAGGACAGAAGATTAAGATTAGCGTAACCTTTATGAGGTTTTTCTTTGCATGTTGTGTAAGCATGGAGTAGGATTTTATCAAAAATTGTTCAAAAAGATTGTATTTTACATCACTTTGTTGCACTGTATTTGTAGACTAGTCTTTTATAGTAATATTTACAAGCATTTTTTTATTTAAAAACAGGTTAGGAAGTTTGTATCATGTTTTTCACATAGCTGTCTTAGTGTCCATCCCACATCTTCTGCTAAAGCTTGTGCTAGTGCTCTGTGCTGATAAGACTCTTGGTAGCCTTGCATCTTTGTAACCTTTCCTTTTCACCTTTTGGGGGAATTTAAAATCAGTAACCTCAGTGTTGTATGTTTATCTGCTCGTACCATCTTGCTATTAGCACACTGTATATTTAGTTGTCAGCGCTCTTGCTGTCCTGTTACACTGGAAAGACTTGCTGATATCATAAATATTTCATCTTGAGTTAAGATCCCAACTGTGTCATCTTCAGCATTGTAAAGAGACCTTTCCTGAGGGTATTGCAGATGCTTAATTTTGTAGCTGAGAGCAAGGTTTTAAAAATGTGTTCATGCCTGCCTTCATTCTTGGGAAGGAGTTTTTGAATATGTTTGAAGATTTGGTCTTCCCCCATCATTAGATCAGAGAGGGGTGGTTTCTGACCTTGTCAGACCTACCTATACACTGTGTAGAGCATAACTTTTTACTGGGTACTGTGAGTTTCTGACTAAATTTGGCTTCTTTCGGTAGAAAGTGATGCTGTTGTCTGAAGGAGCCCTTTTTTGTCCTAATATTAGTATGTAACCTTTTTCTTTGATTTTGTCCTTTAAGCTGGCTAGTGTTTAAAGCCGAGGGAGTCAGGAGGTTATTCTCTGTTCCAAGTTACCCAACAGGTCACTTCATTCAGCTTAAGTGTGGACCCCACACAGTTGTTTTGGCACTTTTGGGAGTAGCATGCTGCCATGTGACAGTGGTGCTGAGTCACTGAGAAGAGAGCAGGAGGAGAAGATAAAGTCAATATTGCTGCTGGCCACCACTGCGCTTGTGGCTTCAAGGACCGAGGTTGAACCTCATGCTGAAGCTAGAGCCTACAGTAAATGTGGCTTATTTCATACGGTTTGGAGTGATGACTGTTGCAAAAAGAGTTGTCAGGGACTTAAAAAGCATTCTTGAGTTTGTGTTAGAGAGTTCATAGGAGAAAGTATTTCATGCTGAAAATAAAAACACTTCATGCTTCTTTTTTGTTGAAGGCAGCAGTGCTGAAAGCTCTTGTCGCAGCGTGCCGCACTGGCTGCGAGGCGTTCAGGGACTGCTGCTCTCGCCCCTCCTTTCACAGGGGTGTGTTTGCACGTGGACAGCTCAGGAAGCTGGATGCCTGCTTGCATCCTTGGAGTTACTGTGCATCCAGGATTAACTGTTAAGATGAGCACAAAGCCAGTGTTTCCTATAAATCCATTTACTTCCTTTCATGTGCTGAAATAATCCCTGAACGCTACGTGACTGCACCTGAAGGGCCCTGGGAAGAGAGGCAGCTAGAAGCATGCTGCGGAAACCATTCCGACAGCACTGAATTGCTCCCAGGCTTTTTCTTAAAGAGTTTTGTGACGTGAACTGAGACTACGTTGTAGACTGGAAGAACTCTTCTGCTAGCAACAGCCTGGCCCTTGTCCCTTCGTCTGGCTCCGGCTGCTTTCCCAATCCCCGTCCCCAGATCCACAGAGAGGGCAGGTGGGGACAGAACAGCTGCCAAAATGTCCCACAAGTTCACTGGCCCTTCTTCCAGCCAAGTAAATGCTACGGAACTAAAAAAATGTGTGCATCAGCCAGTACTAAATCTCAGAGTCTTTACACCTTGCTATGTATTAAATTCACAAAAATGTCTTTTGAGCTGTGAGTTTTCTTCAAAATATAGTAATTTTGTGTTTGTTTGCCTTACGAAGGTGGGAAACTTTAGACAGCTTCATGCAACATGATGTCCAGGAATTATGTCGAGTGGTATGTTTTTACTATTTCTTACTGATCTGTGATGCATAATGTTGTCTGTTGATATTGTGTATATAGAATATAGTTTAGTAATAACCCTAGTAATACCAGCACTGATTAATTTAAATTAGGTCTCTAAGACATTGAGTTTTTGCTTTGGTTTATTTTTATTTTTTTTAGGAAAGGGGTTGAATGTGGCCTTTTGTGAGTGAGGAATTTCTAAAGGATAGGGAAAGTTGAAAATAAATGGAACATAATGCTAGTGGTCCTCATATAGCCATGGAGAGAAATGCATTTTTGAAGATGGAAATGCATCATTCCATTTGTGAGGTTTTCCAGACTGAAAGAAGTGTACCTGGAGTAGTCGAGTAGTCCTCAGTGCAGTTTTTAGGGGGAAGAGGAAGATTTAAAGGACTAGAAAGGACAACCCAGTACGAACAGACTAGCATTTCATTTTTATGCAAGTGACTTGGAGATTAATCAGTGAACTAGTCATCTCTGTGTTGATGAATAAAGTCAAAAACTGCAAGTCCATCCTATGTAAAAACTAATTTTTCTTTCAGCTGCTTGATAATGTGGAAAATAAAATGAAAGGCACATGTGTAGAAGGCACTATTCCTAAATTGTTCAGAGGGAAGATGGTGGTATGTATTTAATCTTTCTTTTTTCCTAAGTAATTTAAGTTAACTGTTACTTGTATACATAGAAATACTGTGTTTTTTGGTTTTTGTTTACAGTCTTATATCCAATGCAAACACGTAGACTATCGATCTGAACGAATAGAAGATTATTATGACATCCAGCTAAGTATAAAGGGAAAGAAAAATAGTAAGTGATACATTGTGATATGCAGCAATCAAATACTTCAAAATGTTGGACATTTTTTGTGCCTGTTAATTTCAAATGGGTTTGTTGGTGCTTAGCACTTTGAAATATCCTTGCCTTAATTTCAGAGGAAGGAGTCTTCGATACCTCACTGAAAAAATTTTCTGCAGAAAATGTTTTTGCTTATGTTACCTTTTTTCCCTTCTACCATTTCCCTTCCCTGCTCCTTCCTCCCTAATTCTCTTACCAATATCTTTTCATAAAACTCTGTGAATTTTAGGTGTTTTCCTAGTGTCATAAAAGTACATACTGTGCTATTGTGATAGGAGTAGTGTTGTCACAACAGCTTATAATTTATATATGAAGATGAACTTGGAGGAAATTGATTCTTATTTAGACCTGACCATAGTAATAAGCAAATAAAAAGAACAAGCTAATCGGAGCAGCGTAACAATGGTCCCTTATCGTCAGTTTACCAAGTACTTGGCATACAAGACATGAAAAAAGACGTGTAAGAGTCCAGCAAATAGTATCATCTAGCTTGATACATAACAGTTGCAAAGTGAGAATACGAGATTTGGCAGGCAGTTGTAACTATGTGATTTGTTGATATTCTTATGTATGCCCCTACAATTTGGTGCATTTCTTGACATTCTTAAGCAATATAAAACTTTTTTTTTTTAAATAAAGACAAAAACGTTCAAACCAAACTCTCATGTCTTAATATGTTGTTTGATTAAAAAATTGTTAAGCCTCCAAGCTAGAGTAAACTTACATTTTTCTTCCTCCTCCTCTACAATTCCCCAATCTTCTTTCATTTAGTTTTTGAGTCCTTCATCGACTATGTTGCAGTGGAACAGTTGGATGGTGATAACAAATATGATGCAGGAGAACATGGCTTACAGGTATTGTCCTTTCTTAAATTTGGTTTTAAATTTTATTTCTCTGTCCTTGATAGAATAACGTTGCAAAACCCATTCTAGGTTGTATCAACTGCTTTTGGTGATTTTTCTCCTTAGACAAGCTTTTATGTAGCTTCTCTTAGTTGCTGTTAGGTTTCTTAAAATGGAGCTTGGATTTTAAAACAATCTAATTAGCAGTGAGTTTTATATCTGTATGTGTTTTAGTGACTAGAATGGTTAACTTCTCTACTGATCTCAAGACTGAGTTCTTCCTTGAAGAGTAATCTGTTCTTCTGTGTGTCTAGTAAAAAAGCAGCATAGCTCTAAAAGTAACTTTAGAGAGGTAATTTTTGTATCATCAACAAGAACACCAAATGAACCCGTGGAATTTTAAACATTTGTGTGTGCACATGTTTCTGAGCTTTTCAGCTGCACTTTGCTGCACCCACTGTAGGAAGCTGAAGTCCTTTATAAAAAATGTTGTTTTACTAAAGCTTGCTTCTGCAGCTTCCATATTCCAGGTTTTGTCAGTAATGCTCTATATATTCTTTAGCTGTTAGGAAGGTACAGCACGGTAGCCAAATATTTGTTGGCAGGATAAAAAGAATGTGAAATTTTTAATTGATCAAAAATGAGTTTTCGCCTCCATATTTTCTTTTCATATTATTTGTGCAGGTAACTTGCTCTTAATGCAGTGAGGTGTTGAGATGTGCTTGTATGAATGGCCTACATTTAAATGAACCGAGTTCTCATGTGTTGTTGGAGTAGCTCATAGGAGGGCTGGTGAAGTGCTAAGATAGCTCACTTCCACCTAAGTTTTGAAACGTTCTTTGGTGCGTAGTGTGTTGTCAAGCTTATAAAATACAAGTCGATAGGAAGAGTGTCTGCAGCAAACAAGTATTTTGAGTTGCTAAAAATCTTGCAATTTCAACCCTCTATTTCCTTTAAAATGTCTAGGAGGCAGAGAAAGGTGTGAAGTTCCTAACATTGCCACCAGTATTACACCTACAGCTCATGAGATTTATGTATGATCCTCAGACTGACCAAAACATCAAGATAAATGATAGGTAAGGTTTTGTTTTTTTGTTGGGTTTTTCCATTGTAGAATTTGGACCTGTGAATGTTCTGAGAGAGTTGGGGTTGTTTAGCCAAGAGAAGAGAAAGCTCTGGGGAGACCTTTTAGCAGCCTGTCAGTGCTGAAAGGGGGCTACAGGAGAGAAGGGGAGGCACTCTTGATCAGTGAGGGTAGCATTAGGACAAGGGGTAACGGTTTTAAGCTGAAAGAGGGCAGATTTAAATTAGATATTAGGTAAAAATGTTTTCCTGTGAGGGTGGTGAGGCAGTGGCCCAAGTTGCCCAGAGAAGCTGTGGATGCCCCATCCCTGGAGGGGTTCAAGGCCAGGCTGGATGAGGCTTTGGGCAACCTGGGCTAGTGGGAGGTGTCCCTGCCCATGGTGGGGGCGGGGTGGAACTAGATGGTCTCTAAGGTCCCTTCCAACCCAAACCATTCTGTGATTTTACCAGAAATAATTTCCCAAAATCCTAGTTTTGGTTGAACTCCAAGAGGAAGGTGTGTTCAGTCTCACGTGGCGGAGGTCCCCAAAAGGCACACTGATTGAATGCTAAGGTTATGAATGACAGATTGAATACTTAAATAGTAATTTGTAGCTGTTGCTTTGAATATGAAACAAGTGATTGCATCTTCTGATGCTTCGTGGAACATTCTTTGTGCCGTTTGTGGAAAGTTGGTACTTTGCCAGAGGCTGGCACAAGAGTAGGTAGGATGAGTAAGTAGTCCTCTGCTTTCCCTCCATCTATTTCCATGCCCACTCACCCTAAGCAGAGGCTGACAGTTTCTCAAGGAGATACATTGTTGGTTGTAAACTAAACCTGTATTGCAACGATTTCAATCTTCAATAATGTTCCAGTCCAGTGGTACCTGCGCTAGAAAAGCTCTACTTGTGCACTGGAAAATAACTGGTTTTGAGCTTTTCCCTTGACACAGTGAATCCAGAACAGCACTCTTTCAGCTGAAGTGCTCTTACCCTTGTTACTGAGGGCATACTTTTCCAGAAGTGCTTATGAAGATTATTTTTATTCCATATTAAAACCATACAAAATCTGCCACTGTTTGCAGTATATCCTAGATAGAACTGTCATTGTAACAGTAACTCTTTCACTTTTCATCACGTGCTTTAGGAGTAGTTACTGGTGTCCTGTATAATAGCACGTCTGTCTTAACTACAAATACAACTGTCTTAATTCTTTTCAAAACTAGGTTTGAGTTTCCTGAACAGTTGCCACTAGATGAATTTTTGCAAAAAACAGATCCTAAAGATCCTGCAAATTACATTCTTCATGCAGTCCTAGTACACAGTGGAGATAACCACGGTGGACATTATGTTGTTTACTTAAATCCAAAGGGGGATGGCAAAGTGAGTATTGAAAAGCACCTAAACTTATTTGTGTTTTTGCAAAGATATACTTGCAGTTTTCATAATGGGCAAATCTTTGGAATTTTTGTTCCCTAACAGAAGAGCATGCTGGTGCACTTGATCATACAGGGATTTGACTTCTTCATGTAGTTCTTAGCTTGATATTCTTCCAATTATGCCTGTTCTAACATATTTGGGAAACTTACTTTGTATTTACAAAATGAAAACCCAGCAGCCTTCCTATCTAGCTCTTGCTCTTTAGGGAAGAGCCTGCATTTGGAGGCATTAAAGAATCAATTGGTGCCTTACAAGGAGTAGCTTCATCTTTGCTGTTGACTTGTGGCAAAAGACTTTTAACTAGGGGAATCCCTTCAGTTGTGTGTGTATATGTGTTGATGTTCTACTGCAATCAGATTTGATCCTTTTATTAGTCTGACTATGCTGAAGCAAACATGAATGTTTCAAATGTTTCCGTGACTCAGAAATGCAGTATCTTTGCTTGTCCCACTGTTAAAGGTTTAAGGTGACTTGATTGGATCGGGCTTCTATAGGTCAGGTGCCTCTTCCCTTGAGTTCACTGGTTTTGTGTGTACATGAGTGTTCACAGAAAAAGTAGAAGTCAGATTTTGCTGTGAATTTGTTGCTCTTTGTCTTTCATTCTTAATTGGCTTTTTTTAATTCAAAATTTGCTGTAAATTACATTAAATGTACAAATAATTGTTAGATATCATGTGCTTTTTATTTTATTTTACAACAAATAAGGTCAATTTTCTGATTTGTATAGGAATGTTAGATATGTGAATAACAGCCTTAAGAAAAGGTTCTCTGAGTAATTATTGGGCTTTTGATATTCAGTGTAAAATGTTCAAGTATTTCGGTAAAGTTTTGGTTTTTATGGCCTTCCTTATGCTCAGCGCAAGTAGCAGGTAGCACAAATTATACTGAACTAGATTTTTTTTTTAAACTCGTGCTGCTTGAAGAACAATTTTATTTACTTCAAAGAGCTGAAAGACATGCCAGAAATAGGATTAATTTGTCCCTGCCCATGGCAGCTGGATTGGAACTAGATGACCTCTAGGGTCCTTTCCAGCTCTAACCATTCTGTGATTCTATGATTCAAGAACAAGTTTTTGTGAGTAAAATTATATTTATATAAAACTTTCTCTCTAGTGGTGTAAATTTGATGACGATGTTGTATCAAGATGTACAAAGGAAGAAGCAATTGAACACAACTATGGAGGTCATGACGATGACTTATCCGTACGGCACTGTACGAACGCGTACATGTTGGTTTACATCAGGGAATCAAAATTAAGTATGTATACTCTGCGTGTGTTCCAAGTTAGATTTACATACAGGAATTTAGGGCTATATTTTACTTCTGAATTGTTGACAGTCTTCCTATACAAAGGGGCTTTTTTAGTTATAGTTGGAATTTATAGATTCTGTGGGATCAACCAGCCTTCCTCTCACTTTTGGAAAGCATGTGCTCATCTAGCGTCATCTTGTCTTAGCACAGTAAGGCAAGATTGTGTATCTGCACAGTGCTTCATCTTTGATTGTTTTATAGGATGGGAAAATTAGTGAACTAACTTCAGTGATGGAAACTAAATCCAGTTGTTTATGTAGATCTATGTATACTAAACAGAATGAGGGGTGGTAATTTTTTTTTTTTTTAATCATGAAATGAATATTTAATTCAGAAGTCTCTGATACATATTTCATGGAAGTAGTGCATTTTGGCTTAGGCTAGAAAATGCTTCTTTTGCCAAAACATGATGATATCAACCCATGTTTTTAATTAAAAGATGAAAAAAGCAGGTTTTAACTTCAAATCAGAGGATAGTCAAGTGCATATGAAGAAAACCCTGTTTGATGTAAATCTTGAAATGACATCACAAAATCTGCTTTGTAGGTGAAGTTTTGCAGCCTGTCACGGACCATGATATTCCTCAACAACTTGTAGAAAGGCTACAAGAAGAGAAAAGGATAGAAGCTCAGAAGAGGAAGGAAAGGCAAGAAGCTCACCTCTATATGCAAGTGCAGGTCAGCTTTTGAAACAGATTTTGCCATTAAAGTTCAGAATATTGAGCCACCCAAGACAAACCTTTGTGTGTTTTTGTGTTTGGAAGTAGTGTTTGAAGTGAAATTATTATTTTAGTGCTTGTGAGTATATTTACGTATGCAATGAATCCTAATGAAACAAACAGTACTGTATGTTATAGACATTTCTGTTTTCTCTAGAAGTTATGTGCTTGCAAGTAAAAGTAGTAAGTTCAGGTGAAAGGAAAAGGACCAGGTTATTTTACATGGCTGCCCTGCCACTGCACTTTTATCCCTTTCAGGAATTATTTTCTAAAATTAGAATGTATCTAGCCATAGGCTGCAAGCCTGGACTACTGCCAAACTGAGCTCATCAAGTAGAAGCAGAAGGAGAGAGTGCTTATATTTGCAATTATCTTTTTGGAAAAGCCAGATGGACTAGATTGTTATGAATTGCCTTAAGGAACCCTGTTTATGGCTCTTTCCAGAGCCCATCTGGCAGAAGAAAATAGAACCCATTTTCTGCTTGCCTCCGTGTTTCCATGTGTCTTCTTTCTGGTGTTCATAAGTAGAGATATTGGTGAAGTTTAGCTTGTTCTGCATCGCACGTACAGTAGAAATGTTTTCAGTGGAGAGACTGGCAGAGTTGCACCATTTGTCTTTCTGTTAACAAAGAATGCATGGGAGCTGTGGGAGATATAGGAAACGTTTTAGGCCGGCCTCCTTGCATTACACCGGTAAAATAATTATGTAGCCTTTTTTTAAGTGCCAAGATTGTTAGAGAACATGTTTCTGAGATTGGGATCTAAGTGCAACTGGTTTTTAATTGTTCAGGATTTGCAAGAATTAGTGTATTTTAATTACTTACACTGATTTGACTATCAATCACAACTTTTTAGTTTCCTTATAATCTGTATACTTGCAGATTTTCTTCATGAGAACATGAGTAGTGTTAGCAGCGTGCCACTATCCAGAGAGCCATGACGTTGCATAGTAGAGCAGGTTACATGCATTGTGCAGCTGAGTTAGTATGAATAGTAACCTTTAAATGTAATTTTTCAGATAGTGGCAGAGGATCAGTTCTGTGGTCACCAAGGCAATGATATGTATGATGAAGAAAAAGTGAAATACACTGTTTTCAAAGTATTAAAAAACTCCACGCTTACAGAATTTGTTCAAAATCTCTCTCAAACAATGGTAAGTTTTCTGTAGATGAATGCCTAGCTGTATGTATTTATTTTATTCCATTATGGTTGCTTCATAGTCTTTATCTTCTCCATGTATTGTAAGAAGTCATAATTCAGACCTTTGAAAACAGAAGATCTGTTTGGATTTAATAAGAGTATCTTAGCCTTTTTAAAAATTCGTTTCCTGTCACAATTTTTATTTATTTTAGGGATTTCCCCAGGATCAAATCAGATTATGGCCAATGCAAGCAAGAAGTAATGGAACAAAAAGACCTGCAATGTTAGATAATGAAGCAGATGGCAATAAAACGGTAAATATTCATTGATAGAGGACATTGTTTCTGTACATAACCCATGATTTTTAGTTCTCTTTAAGAATCTGTAACTTTGGGACATAGATTTTTTCATGGTTTGAATTTAATGTGTACCTGGTATAGTTTGATACTTGAAAAGATCTGAGATGTAGTGGATTGATTTGGATAGGAAGGAAGAGTGTGCTGCATGATTTTTCTTCTATGAAAAAGCATGATCATTATTTTTATGTTAAATTTCAAACAGCAATGTCTTTTTGAGTCCTCTGTTATTTGGGCAAAAACTCTACGTTTAATGAAATGCATTCCTTATAATGTAAAACATTGTGTCTAAATACCATAAAGACCAGTGACTGGTTTCACTGTCCTGTTACATCTAAAGCAAAGTGATTTTCTTGCCAAAATAAAGATAGCTGGAGGTATATTTTTTAAATTTGTGCTTCATTAAATCTGTTTTGGTGTTTTTATATCTGCCATTGTTTCTCTTAATGAACTTCATAAATTTCCTGTCATTAATGCAACTTAAATAATTCTCCCGCTAATACAATGTCATAAGGTTCTTGTATCTGATGAAAATGCAGATATCAGGTTATATTATATTGTTGAGAGACTTTTTTCTTCTTTCACATCTTTCTGCATAGATGATTGAGCTCAGTGACAATGAAAATCCATGGACAATATTTTTGGAAACAGTAGATCCAGAGATGGCTGCTACTGGAGCGACGTTACCCAAGTTTGATAAAGATCGTAAGCATATATATATTTCCTCTGAATAAGAAAGTGGACAGGCG